GGCTCTTTTCATTGAGTTGGCTTCTGATCTAGGTTGGGCTCACTCACGGGTCTGGTGTCTTATTCGATTTCAGCTGGTGGTAATGGGAGGATTTGGCTGCTGGTTTCTCCTCAACCAGCATTATTTCCAATGGAAAGAGAATGTTATTACCCAATGTCCAGGAACTTTTCAGATCTTCTGTACCCTATCTGCCATTGTTATCATCCTATTGGCTACAATAGGTGTATTATCAAGCTCAGAGCAGTGGTAAGAAGCAACTCCCTGGCTGCATGGATAAGTCTGTCATTACATAGGGGAAAAAGAGATATGTTTGGTAGGAATCAAAGAGATTCTGAGATAACATTGGAGATTTATAGGTTTCACTCTCTCCTTTATGAATAAACATGCACATCTCCTCTATATATAGATACACTGGTTTCTAAGTATACTTACACTGATCCCTAAGCATATATATATATATTCAGAGAAATTGTATTTCTACGCTAAGCTGATTTTCTCCCATTTATTGGAAACACTACTCAACATAGATTAGTGATACAGACTCCAGAGTTGAACCTCATTTCTAGTCTCATGACACTGGGACAGGTACTTAACTCCTGATGCCTCAGCACCTTTATCTGGAAAGCCAGGGATATTAATAGAATTCATTTGGTTTGTCTGGAAATGGATGCATGTCTGTGTATCTAGCATTTGCATCAGAACAGTGTCTGGCATGGAGCGAGCATCCGTGATTAGCCCTTCTCATAATTATTTACTAATGATTCTGAGTCATCTCATTGTAAATTGGGTTATTCATGGACTACCAAATGTGCACCAGCTATGCCTCTGTGTCTCTGTTTCATCTGCTTTCATAGAATTCAAATTCAAGCTTTAGTATTGGCTAATATCTTCGTGTCACTAATACTTTTAGAACTGGAAGGGACATCTTTTTTTCCTGAAAGATCAGCTGTGGGGTGACTCTCATTTAAGGTGTTCCTGAGTGATTCTGTGATTTTCTGAGAACACAGTGGTACTGAATCGACTGTCATGAACTAGAAAGTTGATTTGGAACTTGTAGCTGGGAGATCTTCCTAATGCATTCAGTGTTGATGTTGTGGGTGAGGTAGGGAAAGAACACATTTATTTAGTAACCCATTGAGTAAAGGCAGGAACTTTGTAACTATAAAAGGTCCTTTCCTTCTTAGGATATTGGTTCTGGGCTGTTTGAGAGACACAAAGTTGTTGAGAAACTGTTTTCAAGTTTGCTAGGATTTAATCCATCCCCTTATCTTGGTTAGGATCCTAAAATTCAGGACCTTTCTGGGTTGATCTATCTAATCCTTAAAAAAAAATACAGCATCGGTGTGCAGGTGATTTGGTACCCTCCTGTCCTGAAAATAGGAAGAAACTAAAGTTGTGCGATGAATGACCCTTGTTGTCAGTTTGTCTTTAATTTAAGGCCAATTCCGAAACAAATGAGTTCACAATGATGACAGCAGTGCACTGAGCGCTAGTAATGTGAGCAAATTTCAAGCTTCTGAGTAACATTTCAAAACGGTAAGTACGACACTAAAATAAAATAAGAGGAAATAATGACTGGTGAGTGCACACGGCCTCAATTCCGCATGTCACATTTAGGATTTTAAGGTGACCCCGTATGGCTGAAATGAAAGGAAAGAATTCAGCATCCGAGCAGTATCGTAAAACCACAAGCAGAAGCTCACCCGAAGAGATCAGCTCTTTTGAAAGAGAGCTTTCTGTTTGGTTTGAAATGTCGGAGTCCATGAAACCAAGGTGGGGAATTTGGATTCTTTCCCCTGCACCCTCCTCTTCACCCCGTCAGACTCCAGTGTTTCTCTAGGATTGATTTCATAGAGAGGTAAACTCCAGGGCAGAGGGGCTGCTTCAAAGCAAATGAGGCCCTTAATTTATCATAAAAGAGAAGACTGGTTGTTAAGGTTTTATTGGATTACAATAAAGGCTCCTAGCACTAGGAGTCTGTGGTTTGATTCCCGGCATCACAGGGGGAGCCTGAAACCATAACCACAGATTATAGCAATGAGCTTCCAAATTTCCATATCCTAAGCAAAGATGCTGCTTTCCTGGAGCTAATGTGGAATTACATGCTCTGTGATTTTAGGATATGTATTGGAAAATTTTCTGTTTGGATATCACTTCAGGAGGGCTGTGATTCTCCAATCACCTCTGTGGTTACAGCTTCAGCGTTCTCCAAAAAGACAAGAAAGGAAACCAACAAAAGAGCTTTGTTGTGACTCTTTCCTTTCTGTCCTCTTGAAAGTTAAATGCTTGGCTTAAGGTTTTTTGTTTTGATTAAGGTCAACGAAAGTTCTTATGAGGTCATTCTAGGTTGGAGCAGCGGCTTCGGAAGATCTTCTGGTTCTAACTCTGTTGCCATACTCCTTATTATGAAGTCGTGTTTTACTGACTCCAAAGGCTTTGAAATCTACCAGCATGCATAAATCTACTGTCATGCATAAATTCTCATACATATTCATATACGTCAGTGCAATTGTACATTCGCAAAAAGTTCGTGGACATTAGTTTAATGATGAGTTTGGTTGCCAAAGAAGTTTTAAAAGTCATGTATATAAGGGATCTTCAAACAGTTCATGGAAACTATATCATGAAAAAGCTATGCACGGATTTAAAAAAAATGTTTATTTTTATTGGAAAGGAAGATGACATTTATTGAGAGAAGGAGAGAAAGACTTTGCATCTGTCGGTTCACTCCCCAGATGGCTGCAATGGCTGGAGCTGAACCAATTCAAAGCCAGGAGTCAAGAGACAGAAGCTTCTTTTAGGTCTCCCATGCGGGTGCAGGGTTCCAAGGTTTTGGGTTAACCTCTGTGGCCGTCCCAAGCCATAAGCCAGAAGCTGGACGGGGAGTAGACAAGTGGGATATGAACTGGCACCCAAATAGGATCCCAAAAAATGCAAGGTGTGGATTTAGCCATTGAGCCATTTCACCAGGCCTTATGTATTAATTTCAAAAGGTTATGCACCAATGTAAGCTGATCTGCTAATTCTATTGTCCATGACCTTTAAAAAATATCTTTGAATTTATGAAACTAATTAAAAATGTGTGTGTGTATTTAGGATGAGAGGACAGACCATCTTGGGCCAAATGAAGCTATAAATAGATACATTTTATTTAACTTCTTGCAGAGTATATCCAGTTGAATGTATAAAGAAATGTAGTATCAATTTGAGTTTAATAGAACGGGAACAAAATCTATGGACGCTCCTGCATAAGTTCTTTATATAGCTTAAAGCCCTTTGCTATATTTGTCATTCGCAGCCTGATCCTATAGCTATCTCACCCTAAGAGGAAGGCAAGGCTTATTTTTCATAGGAGCAGAAAAGAGCGTTCATTTACTTGGGAGTGAGGAGCTTCTGGAGGGAGGAGCTTGTTTTCTTCTGGGTCTATCCACAGTTTCCTTTTGCTTCCTGTGCTTGTAAGTTGAGCAAAACATTTGGAGTTTCCTCTGTGTGGTTAGGATGCCTTTGCTTAGAAACACGTAAGTCATGGAAAATTCAGCCTTTATGGACAGCTCACTGAGCTGGAAATCCAGAGACAGGAGCTGGGAGTGGCACAGTCATGTCACCAGGAGTCTTGGCTGGGTAGATTTGTTGTTGTTGTTGTTGTTACCCAGTATGCGTTCTTTCCCTGTAACAGAGTTGGATGTCCTTACCCATGTTCACATGATTTGTCCTGTATCTGTGGACAGAGACTGTTCTACTTCCCCTACCTTCATCCCTCAACTGCAACCGTAACAGTGGGGAGATGTAGGCATGACACACTCACACAGAGCCGAGGGGCTGGTGGGAGCTGAGGCTGCCTTGGCATGTCTCTGGCGCCTGTCAGGAGCACAGCAGTTCTCAGTAGTGGCTGCTGCTTTGCCCACATGGGAACTGAGGAGCTGAGGATCCTTGTGCAGATGGCTGGGGGCCAGAAGTCCCACAACCCTTGTATGACAAAGGGAAATAAATATGTGTTGCTCTAAGCCACTAACACATTGGAGCTGTTTATTGCCACAGGAAAAGCTGACTAATTTTAGAACCCAGTGTCCTTCCATCTCTCCACTCCAGTCATTGCCAGTGAAGCTGCTTGCCCCAGCTCATTTTCCCTGTGGTCGGAGAATGGCAGCAGCAGGTGTGAGCATCTCCTCCAGATGTGACTGTAGCCGGAGGCAGAAAAGGAGGCCCTCTCTTTCCGTGTTTCTTTAAGAGTAGAGACGTAGTCTACAAAGACCCATGGCAGACATCTGCTGTGCCTTACTCATCACAAATGGGTCACATGCCTGGTGGGAAACTTCAGCGTTGGCAGAGAAGAGGGTACCACTGCCCTGGATCTGTGTCGGTCAGGTTTCGTCCCTTAGCCAGAATTTTGGAATCCCAGATGAGGGTGAGAAGAAGTGGCAACAGTTGGATAGCTAAGTCAAATCAGGCCTCCGTAAAGCAGGGCAAGGAGAGAAAGTGGAGATGCAGCTGTAAGTGCCTTGTTCTCCCTCCTGATTGGGTGACATTTTCTGCACATCCCCTTCCACTTTCTAGACCCCTTGCTTTCTCAGTATGTATTATCCCTGCCATATTATTTACTTCGTTTGTTTGTTGTCCTCCTGTTTTTGTCCTGTTTCCCTAAACGTGTGGGGTATGCAGTGAATAAAGACTTGGATTAGGTTCTTGGAATACATTTATTCAAAATTTTAAAAATATTTTTCAGTTGGCCAGAGAATCCATTCTCTTGTATGCCAAAGAAAACCGTGTTCTTAATTTTTAGGCAATTCTGAAGTCACACACACTCAATGGAGGATCTCTATCCAGTCTTATAGACTTCACAGGTACCAGGCTTTTAAAAAGAATAGATGTATTGTTATTATTATTTTATTGAAAAGGGAGATGTAATTTAGAGAGAAGGAGAGACAGAGAGAAAGTTCTTCCATCTCTTGGTTTACTCCCCAGGTGAACACAACAGCCACAGCTGAGCTGATTTGAGGCTGAGACAGGAGCTTCCTCTGGGTCTCCCATGTGGGTGCAGGATCTCAGGACTTTGGGCCATCCTCCACTGCTTTCCCGGGCCATATGTAGAGAGCTGAATGGAAAGTGGAGCAGCTGCGGTACATACCCAGCACTTACAAGATGAGCCCTTAAGTCACTGTACCAGGCCCAGGTGCCAAATGTTGAGATTTAGACAGAAGAAAGAACTATTTCTTGTTTTCCATACTTAAGGTATAGAATTGAGACTCTGAGGGGGAGGGAATACTTCCCAGTGAGAATGCTGTGAACTTCTGGATGGGACCAGCATTCTAAGTAACACAGCTCCTGGGGTTTCCTAAAATGCTGTACATGTCTCCCAACTTTCAGACTTAGTATGAAACCCAAAGCAGGAGTCTTTAAGATTTGTTTATTTTTTTTATTAGAAAAGCAGAGTTACAGACAGAACAAGCCACAGAAAAAAGATTTTCCATCTGCTAGTTCACTCTCCATATGGCTACAATGGCTGGAGCTGAATCAGTCTGAAGCCAGGAGCCAGGAGCTTCCTCCAGGTGTCTTTTGTGGCAGCAGGATCCTGAATCTTTGGGCTATCCTCTACTGCTCTCCTAAGCCACAAGAAGGGAGCTAGAAGGGAAGTGGAGCAGCCGGAACATGAGCTAGTGCCTAGAAGGGATCCTGATGTTTGCAAGGTAAGGATTTAGCTATTGAGCCATTACACTGGGCCCAGGGACAGGAGTTTTGAATAATGCCTTTTTCAGCCAACTTCATGAAATAAGGAAGAGCAAGGGCTTGAATTGAAATCACGTATTCCCTTCACGACACAGAAATCTTCCAGAATAGCAATTACAAGTCCATGTTCCGCTGAAGAGTTTTATTCCTGAAGAACAACAAACACAAGCTGTATGTCTTGAAAGTGCTTTGCAAAATACAGTTAATTCCCTTTATTCGCAGTTGTACTTGCTCAGATTAAACCCAATATTTGGAAAAAAGAACTTCACCTAGTGAGCATGTGCATTCACTTTTCTTGTCACTGTTCTCTAAAACCACACACCCTTACAACTATTTGCACAGCATTTACATTATGTTAGGCATCATGAGTAATTTAGAAATGACTTACTGTAAAAGATGATGTGCATAGAGCATAGGGAAGTGCTGGAACACTTTGAACAAAAAAAAAATGTATATCCATTGATCTGGGGATCAACAGAGGGTCCTAGAAACAAGTCAAAGCAGACCCCAAAGGATAGACAAACTAAGAATTGCATTGCACAGTCATGGAGGCTCAGGCATCCCGCAATCTGTTGTCTGCACTGTGGAGACTGATGAAAACCAATGGAGTCATCCAGTGTGTGAGTCCAAAGTCCCAAGGAACAGGAGAGCTAAAGCGATTCAACTCAGTCTAAGCACCAGGCAAGACGAGGTGAAGTACACCCAGCTCCAACCCTAATCTTCTGTCTGCCCCTTTCCATACCATTCTGTGTCTCTGCGCACTCACATGGTGGACAGCCACCTCCTTCACTGATTCCAACGATTCCAAAGTTCCCACATCTGAAATACCAGCAGGGACACACCCAGCAAGGATGCCTCCTTGGGGCCCCTGTGGCTAGCCAACTGGACTTAGGGAATTAGCCATGGCAGCAGGGGTAGACAGGAAGGGTATGCTCACTTTCAGTAATGTTGTACTAAAAGCAATAGGGATGCATCATTACGTTTTCCGTCATATTCATGTAAAAAGGATTTAGTTGTCATTATATCTTCATTTTTGTCTTATTTATTTGACCTCAAAAATTTAAAGAGATCTTTACTGAATCATTCGTCACTTCTAAAATAATTCTATACTGAGTAAATTGGAAGGAACTGTGAATAAAGCTTAAACGAAAGATCATGTAGTAGGTTATGCTGTGGTTCGCAACGGCACTCATGCCATGGTCATTGAGTATGCAATGTGACCCCTCAAATTGGGCTGGTTCTTTCGCTCCCATGACCTGCTCTTAGGGTATTCCCTCTGGTAGCAATGACCAACATGTCACAATGTTAAAAGATGCCTGAGCTTCCTGGGTAGAGCTCTTTCCCTTAAGGAATGGAAACATCAATGACCAGAACTTTTGAAATCTCAATCTTGCCTCTTGATACATTTTTAACTTGGGTGTATTTTAAATCATTTTTCTCTCAGAAGCTGTGGCTTTTTGTAATCTGTCTTACCATTTTTTTTAAACAATGTGAATATAGTACGTGACAATGATTATGTCCTGTCTGGAAAGAGTGACTTCTGAACGAAGGTCTGCCACACTTCAACACCAGAAATCTCACAAATGCATGCGTTGTTCTTAGATTCAGGCTAATGTGGAAATTGGAAGTCCACTTCCCCAGACCAAAGCCTGAGCTACTGTGTCAGGGCTTTAAGATCCTGACCATGTTCACATGTCTATCATCCTACTCCCTGTCGTCCATGTTCCAACTACAAAATGATATTTCTGTGACTTTCTCCCTTAAGCCCTGATGACGACCTATTGCTAACTCTTTACAAAATCTTTTTCTGCTATCCTATTCATCTATCAGCTTGGAAAACAAGTCTAATGCTTCAAGATACAACTTAACATTTGTTCCTTCTGACCTCTTCAGGCAGGGTTGAATGCTTGCTACTTACAGGTTAAATGAAGTCCTATTGTTCACATAACTTTTTATACTTTATGTCTGTTTACCTAATGATGTGCTTGCAGCTTATTTCCTAGCTTTTGTACTTGAAAGGTACAAATGGTTCATTTAAAAAATAAGGGCATATGGGCCTGGCACAATGGCCTTGAATGCTCTGGGATCCCTTATGGGTGCTGGATCTAATCCTGGTGGACCCGCTTCCCATCCAGCTCCCTGCTCGTGGTGTGGGAGAGCAGTCCAGGATGGCCCAAAGTCTTAGGATCCTGCACCCACATGGGAGAGCTGGAAGACACTTCTGGCTCCTGGCTTCGGATCGGCTCAGCTCCGGCCACTGCTGAGCTCTGGTCACTTGGGGAGTAAATCATTGGACAGAAGGTCTTCCTCTCTGTCTCTCCTTCTCCTCTTTGTATATCTGACTTTGCAATTAAAAATAAATTTTAAGAAACATAGACTGTACAATGTGCTCAAGAGACGCGTAGTTAGGGAGTGGCATTTTGGTACAGTGGGTAAAGCTTGTGCCTGTAATACTGGCATCCCATATGAGTGTCAGTTTGTGTCCTGGCTGCACTGCTTCTTACCTAGTTCCCTGATAATGGTCTGGGAAGAGTTGTAGATGTTCCCACGTTTAAGCCCCTGCCACCCTTGTGGAAAGATCCTGTTTCTTCCCTGGCCGTTGCAGTCATGTGGGGAGGGAACCAGCAGATTAAGATATAACCTTCCCCCACACCCCGTAACTCTGACTTCCAAATAAATAAATGCTTAGAAAACCACACAGATGTGTAAATAATCCAATGACTATCACCAGGAAAGCGATTACAATATGCTTTATTCAGAAACTGATTACAAGGGCAAATAAAAAAACTGATAAATGACATCTTCAATAGAAGACACAGATCTTTCATTGGAATGCGTGTTAGGTTCCAAGTTACATCAGCCAGAATTCTAATTGACACCTTTGACCTCTCCCGATGTTTTCAGTGAGTTGTCTAGAAATCAGCTTTATGGCTCTTTCTACGATTATTGGTCGCATCCACAAGTATAGTATGTAGGAAATATGAGACCAAGAAGAAGGTCCTTAACATTTCTTAGTGTGTGTGACTTTAGCCCCATTTATTTTAGTTTAACCATACTTATTTTTTTCTGTGATTAGGAGGATATTGTGCTGTCAGGCGAAGAGATTACATATTTGGGGATTAACCAAAGATTTTGTGACAATCTTGTCATTTCCTGGATATGGCAGGAAGTCTGTAGGAAAGAGGAATTGGGGCTGGTTTTTTAAACCGCCGACTGCAATGTTGATGTGCCGTTAGAGTGTTCGTTTCAGTACTGGCTTCAAGTCTAGTTCTCCACTGACACACTTGGGAAGGTAACGGACGATGGCCCATGTTACCTGCCACACAAGTGAGACTTCATGGTTTTCTTGGCTCCTGGCCTTTTTTTTTTTTTTTTAATAACACTTTTACTGATTTCTATTTGATTTACTCTCTCTTGTAATTCACTCCCATAAACTATGGCTCTAAAATTACCTTTATAAATCACATCTAGCATGCCTTTTAAGTCATTGATCTTTCTTAATGAAGAGAAGCAAGTAAAATGGTAATACGGTAGTAATTGTCGCTCTTTCAAATTTATTCAACACACTTATTACACATCAAGTATACAAAATACCGAGCAAGAGACTCATGTAAAAGCTTATATTTCTATTAACGTTTAGGTATGGATTAAGGGTTAAATGTATTAAGAAAGACAGTCTCATTGGGTGTCTTCTTAACTCTGTGTTAAGAAGGAATGAGCAGCTGTCTTCAGTTGTAAATGGAAGTCACTCTAGGTAGTAGAGCTTTACCTCGAGTCTTTGTTCTGATGTACAATACGTCAAAATTACTTCTATTGTCATTTTTATTTCATCATTTTCTCTGTATTATCATTATTAGAAAGGGATAAAGAGAGAGAAAAAGTGTCACCATCCGTTGATTCATGCTCAAATGTCTGCAGATACTGAGGCTGGACTGTGCACAAAGCCGGAATCCAGGAATGCAACTGTGTTTCCCACTTAGGTGGAAATAATCCGATTAGTTGAGACATTACTGCTACTTTCCAGGATCTGAACTGGCAGGAATTAGGGGTCAGGAACTGGAGCAAAAACTGAGCCCCGGTGTCTGATGTGGGAAGTGATTGCATTAACTTCAAGGTAAATGCCTGCTCTATTGATGCGTGATTGAGCGATAAATCAGTTTATTAATTAGGAGAAAGAATGAACAGTTAATCACAAATGCTTAAAAGAAGAATGAAGTATTTTTTGAAGTTCTAAGTATTTGTAAGGCAGGATTACAGAGAGAATGAGAGCAAGTGAGAGAGAGAGAGGCAATGGAGAGAGATCTTTGATTGCTGATTCATTCTCCAAATGATGACTGCCAAAGCTGGACTGGTTTTGAAACCAGGAACCAGGAATTTCATCTGGGTTTCCCATGTGGCTGCAGGGTCCAATCACTTGGAAAGTCATCTGCTGCCTTCCTAGGCAAAGTAATAGGAGCTAGATCAAAAGTGGAACAGCCTTGACTTAAACCAGTACTCAAATGGAATAATGGTGCTGTAGGCAGTGGCCTTATTCGTTATGTCATTGCAAAGTCCCAAGAATGAAACACTTAACTGCTATTCTGTCTTTGTTTGGTTCTCTTTGGACACTATTGGACAGTTTCAATAATCTTACACAGGTCTTGAACAGAAAGAAGCTTAGCATTATTTACTTAATAATTGTCACTCCTTGGCCCAGTACTAAAGCCTCGTGGCTAAATTCCTTGCCTTGCATGCAATTGGGATCTCATATGGGCTCTGGTTCATATTTCAACTGCTCCACTTTCCATCCAGCTTCCTGCTTGTTGTCTGGGAAAGCAGTCAAGGACAGCCCAAAGAAAGAGACATAGTCTCTGCGTGGGAGACCTAGAAGAAGCTCCTGGTTCCCAAATTCAGATCAACTCAGCTCTAGCTGTTGTGGCCACTTGGGGAATGAACCAGTGGATGGAAGATCTTTCTCTCTGTTTGTTCTTTTCTCTGTATAACTGCCTTTCAAAATGTATATAATTAATCCTGAAAAAATTGTCATTCCTGTATGTTTTCAAACAACTTTGACATCTGTGTTCTGTGTTATATTTCGTAGCATTGGATGATTTGTAGGGGCTCTTTGATGGGCCCCTCCATCCCAGCTGCACAGTCCCTGAGGTAGGTTGAGAAGATTGGCTGCCTAGTCTGAACGTTTGAGAGGTTGATTCCCAAGATCGTTGAGGACAGCACGGAACGCAGCGATGACCTGAGCCACGTGGCTGATAATCATAGTGCTGAACGTCTCCTCTTTGCCTTTCCGGTACAGAATCACTGCCAGGGGGATAGTCTCTTCTTGTTATTTGTTTCGTTTCAATAGGAAAAGTGACTCTCAAAATGTGATCTGTGGATCCTTGGAGGCCTCTAAGCTGCTTTCAGGTAATCTATGAGGTCAAAGCTATTTTTATAATGACACCAAGGCATTGTTTTCCCTTTTATACTGTGTTGACATTAGCGCTGATATGCACAAGCCGTGGTGGAGAACTGTGGAAGCCGTAGCATGGATTAATGTCTTCTTCATATCGTCTGAGGGAATGGAAAGTACACACAAAGCCCCTGCTGGCTTCAAGGACAATGGCTGTCTTGAGGAGACGCTCTTGCACAGTCGTTTGAGTTTAAGCTGAACTGTTTCTTTTTTCTCACGGGACTATTCTTTAAGAAGACAACTAAATGGGGTAGATGTTGTAGTGCTGTGGGTGAAGCCACTGCCTGGTGCACCAATACCCCCATGACATGCTGCTGTGAGCCTGCCTCTTCCGAAAACATCTTGGCATGCTGTAGATGATAACCCAGATTTTTTTGGGCCCTTGCTGCTCATGTGAAGTGTTCCTAGCTCCAGGTTTTGGTCTGGCCCAGTGATCAGTGGATGGAGGATCTTCCTCTCTGTAAATCTGATTTTCCAATAAAAATAAATAAATCTTTTTTTTTTAAAGGAAGAAACTACCATATTGGACAGTGTCCTGCAAATATCTGAGAAAATATATTTCTGTACTCTGATCTTTCCCCAGCTGTGTATGTATGCGAGGCTGTTTACATGTCAGTGAGAACAATGTGTCACAGCCTCGTAAGTGCAAAGTGGCTATATGAAACTGAGTGTTTCCAGTTCAGCTGACCATGAATGAGATTTATAAAACATGAAGCAATTGCATTCTTTGGACTTATTCTTGAGGGAAAATGCAGTTATTATTAATAAATATTTATATACAAAAATATTATTTATGATGCGGTATTATAGGCTTATATCAAGAAATAACAATGTATACATTTTTCAGTTAAAATTCCTAAGATGGTCGACAGGAGCTTTGGCTCTAAAAACATGTGTTGTGGTTCCTGGGGAGATCAGACATATACGATGGCTATCTGATGAATGTATAGATCTCTCTCTTGAAGGACTGGGCTAAATACTTAAGAGTATCAATCCCAAGCTGATGCTAACACCATAGAGCACAATGACTCGCCAAAGTATAGGAATACATACAGTGTAATGCCGTATAAAGTTATTGCTGCGGAACTACAAACAGGGACGATGTTGGTGGTAGACACACAAAGAAGGATGTGTGGTTGGCACAGTGTTTGGACGTTTCGACGCGAGTTCCTGGGTTCTAGCCCCAGCTGGGCTTCCGAGTCTAGCTTCCTGTTGAGGCCTGCACTGGGGTGCAGCAGCTGGTAACTCCAGTGCTTGAGGTCCCATCATGCACCTGGGAGTTCAGGGCTTTGTTCCATGCTCCTGGCAAGAGCGCAGCCCCGAGAGCTGCAGACAGGTGCAAAGTGAACCAGCAGATATTCTCTCTGATTCCGTGCCCATCTTTCTCACTCAAATAAAATAAATAACAATTCTATTTTAAAAAAATCACTAATTCACCAGGATAAACACTGAATTCAGGACAATGCTTAACTTACAGGAGTCAGAGAGGATATATAATTGGAACTTGAATTGCAAGCCTAAGATTTTTCAACTGTGTCGGTATTGCTTTATTTCTTAAGCTGGGAATGTTAAGCTTATTAGAATTCAACACACAGTTATACATTTTTGGCATTTTTTAATTGTTGAAAAACTTTTAAAACTTTTAAAATTCTTAAAAAACTACTTAAAGTGTAGAAATTGATGCGAATCAGAGAAGAGGAATTGATACAAATAAGAGCCTGTTAATTCCACCTGTTTTTATGCCTTTTTATAATCTGGTAAGACAAATGTGTGTGTGTGTGTGTGTTTTCACATACACACATAGATGTATAAAATCACATAAGCCAGCAGGGAAAAATTTCTCATGTGTAGCACTTTTCTTGCTGTCTATGCTGAAATCTTGAAAAATACCATTTTAATTAGCTGGTGAACTGCAATTTCCACTTGCAAGAGATGATTAATAGAAGGTGTAAACACTGAGTCTGGAGGGGCCAGGGGTAAAGTGAGGTAATTATTGTGAAGTATCTTCAAGAATAGCACTACACTTTAAAATGGATTTTTCTCAAAGGAGCTTGAGTTGCAATTAAATCCTGTGACTAGGTTTTTATCACTTCCAGGGGGAGCTGTGGTAATTCCTTAGCGAAGAGGATTTCCAGGAACGATAGCACAGTCTGTCTGGTTCTTGCACAGTAGGGCTAAAGCCATTATTTACGCAACAGTGCAGAAGGCAGACACCACCACCGAATGGCAAGGACACAAGAAGTCGCATTTTCCTCCTGTTGCTTTTTCTTGTGACCAGATCCTGTCATTATTCTCCCCGACTGTGAGTGACGTCAAAGCAAAATGCCCCTTCTAAGGGAAAAGTGGGAAAGAGCTCAGAGATCATACTGGAATTCTTCACTTGCAATTAAAGCATTCGGCTTAATGATAAGTACCAAAACTCCCCAAGAAAGAAAGATACTCAAATCAACCAGAAGATGCTGATGTTTTCTTCGGACAATTGTGAAATCATTCTGATGACAAGAATACAATTTCACAAGGAGAAACCCCTGTCTGTGGCTGTGTGTGTGTGTTTTTTTTAAAGTAAAATTAAAATCAATCCTTTGTTCCCTCCAATGTATTCTACTAGCTCCCAAGCGTAGCGCTGTATCTTTGGATGCTGGACTTTGGATGCTAAGTCTTATTGTAATTTTTATAAGTGGAGAGACTGTACTTCATCTTGATGTTTTATTCAGCAGCCCAATAAAATGGAATCTGTGGATGTTTGCTGGAAAGGTATGTCCTGAGTTTCTGGCTAGCTAGTCACAAGGGAAGAAAGAGCCAGAGATTTTCAGTACAATTTGAAAGGTCAGACCTTTGTTTCTTTTTTCTTTTAGTTTTGACATTTCCTTGTTCTCACAGACCGGGAAAGCAATGATGATAATCTGGTTCTGGTTTCCCCAGTGACACAGAAGAGACAGGATTTCAGGAGCCATCGACCCTTCATGAAATGTGTCTCAAGCTGCTGACTCTGTCTCGCGTGTGTTTATGTGTGTTTGGGCGGGTTGGTGAAGGGAATATTGGGAGGGTCCTATGGGTGGAGCCGCTTATTCTCCTTTATGTACAATTGCCTCTAAAAAGCTGGTCCATTAGTCATTGAGATTTCACTGTGAATTACACTAATTAGATCATTTCATTGCTTTTTATGTTTTGGAATGGCAAGGATAAAAACACTTGATATTCCTTAATTCAGGAAATTTTTCATTCAACTATTTGGCTTTAGACATTTTGCCAGAATTGAGATTTTGCCAGCATCGAGAAGGGGTGGGGGAGGGTGTGAATAAAGGAGGAAAAATCTGGGACAGTGAAGCTCTTTGGGTGGGTAGTTCAGGCAGTTACTCAGCAGCAGAAAGAGTAGGATGTTTAGGAATTTGGAAATTCAGGGTGTGACCCTGTGTGTGTGTGTGTGTGTGTGTGTGTGTATACACATGTGTGTAGGGGGGCTGTATTTGGGAGAGGGAGTGTTGTCGTCTTTTAGAGCCTGAACCACAAGTGGTAAAAACATCTTGAATTTGCAGTGGGCAGTGTTATGCAGAGAAGTGACAAGCTCTGAGATCTAAGTTCTTCTATTGAAGAACGCTTCAATGAGAAAAGGGATGAAGAAATAAACTGAACCAAGGAATCCAAACTTTGGTACTTTGTAGCTTTGCTCAGCACCCTGGTGACTACAAAAGGAAATCACTGGGTAATTTAGCTACTGCTACTAACCTTGATGTTCTCATCGTCTGTGCTGAGATCTAGAAATCAGTGAAGCAGTTGAGAGCCAAGTTGAAGCAACAGCCAACAGCAAAAGTAGGCTATTAACTTGTCTGAAGTATCATAAATTATGCCCAAAGCAGAAGATGTGTTTATTATAAAGCTTTACAGAAAAAAAGAAAACGTGTTATTTGTCAGCAAGTTAGAATACCTGCTGATCTTATACTTCCTTTGCTTCTCCACTAATCAGTTACATGTCATTTTTCTCTTCCTTACATCATTGAAAAGCAATGTTTCAAGTTTTTAGAAAAATGTTAGCAATGCTGTCAATATCTTGAGGTGGTAATACATCTCTGGTACTCTACGGAGTAAGCACTTGCCCAGTCGAATCAAGACTTTGAACTAAACCACACAAGGGTGAACATGCACATAGAGTCTTCAGCTCCTCCAGTTTGTTGGGTGGCTTTGAGCATTCATTTGGAGCTATGAACACGTTGGGACCATGGCAGCCAGCAGATGTTTTCAATTCCACTTTTTCCCTCTTTTTTTTGCCGTGGCACAGGCGCCTTTCCTGAGCTTGGCTGTTGAATGGTCCTCGCTGAACTTGTCAGCCTTCACACACTGGTTGCTGATTCGTGTTGAACTATGAAGCATGAAAGAAAAGTAATATGGTCTTTTTTTTTTCAGGGAAAGGATAAAATGTCCATGAATGAGTACTAGCAAGGTGTTATGACTTTTTAAAGTTGGCTCAGACAAGTCTTACTTGCTGAGAGGACCCTTGGAATGGAATAAATCATGAGTAATGATAAAAATAATTTCTTTAAAATATAGTGTGGAAAAGCAACGTCTATTTTCAAATATCATATCTAGAGTCCAGGAAAAAAGTATCTCTACTTTTCTGAGATGGGCCTATGTACTTAAACTGCAAAGAAGTTTTAATGGCCCTTGCTAAAACAAACGCTTTGACAAAGTAACTAGAAAACAACCAAGGCAAGTGAGTAGAGAAGTTTTTGCTGGTTATTTAAGGATTCATTACAATAGAAGGAATTGATGTTCAAATAGTCCATGCAGCTTCTCAATATTTGGTTCAAATTTTTTTTTTTTTTTTTTTTTTTGCGCCCAGTTAACTTAGCTTTTGGTTCTGTTTTCCCAGAAACATCACAAGGGCCCCTGGTTCTCTTTTGCACTGCGATTTACTTTCCATGACTTTACCCATATGAACAGGAAGAATCACAATTCAGGCTAACGCCCATTCTTGTACAACACTGGGATTTCCAAATAAGCAGGGATTATCTCAAGGTAAGTTTTGAGATCACCTAAAGCTAGAAAACAAATGCAATGATTCTGTTTCTATGCTGATTCAGATTCTTCCCTTGGGCACAAGCTCAGTGGAAAAGACTATAAAGGTGTGAAAAGAATTTCTCTTGAGCAAGCAGGGCCTGAAGAGTGTCTTGAAGGGTTGCCAGGAGCTCAGGTTTTTCTTTACCCAGCAGGGTGAGGACCAAGCTTATCAACTCGAGCTTTCTGTTGCTGGGGAATTCATCAAGCCTGCAGATTATAATGATCTCTCAAGAGAATTACAATGTGAACCTCTTTGATAGATGTCCAATTACTTTGGATTACACGAAGTTTATGAGTTTCTCAGGAAATTATGTGTGACCCTTACTTTGCCAAAGTTAATTGCCCTTGAAGCGTTGGTATTGCACAGTCCGCATCCAGTAGGGGTTTGATTGAAATGGCTAGGCCTGCCTGAGCTATTGTACCAATTGCGATTTGGGGTTAAGAGATTAAAGTGGCAGAAAGGTTAGAGAGAAAAAGAATTAGAAATGTGATATACGGCTTTGCAGATTTAATTCTAGGCCCGAGCAGAGAGACGCCAACTACAGACTCATTCAGTTTAAAAGGGGATTTAGATGATCTGAAATTCCTTCTAACTCTAGGGATTTATGATTTTTGTTTTAGTGATGACTAATACAAAAAGGAAAAGAGAAGTGATATAGGCCCTGTTGGTGAGGTTGGCCTGGTAACGGTGCAATGGTCAGTGTGAGTTTTATTAGAACAAAGCTTCATGTCTCAATCTCTGTCTCTCTCCCTCCAACCTCTCCCTGCCATTGGTCCCTCCCTCGGTCCCTCTAGCAGTCCACATACAGGTGCATCCCGTGCAGTACAGCTCTCTGCTTTTACTGCCTTGTGGGGTCCACTCTGCAAAATAGAAGTCCAGAAGCCATCACTGTTCTGATCGAAAGTGAGAGCTCCTAGGAGAGAACGCCTGACTACAAAGACAAGCTTTCCCTGTTGCTAGAATATTAAGGAACTTCCTGAGCCTCAATTTTCTTCCTTGCAATGGGGAATTATAAGGTGTCCACCTCCTAGAGCTCTTTTAGCAAATACCTTCATGTTACATTGCTTATGATCTGTTGATGCATGTGAGTAAGGATTTCTATGTATTTTATCCGCTGGCCTGCCCAGGCCGGAACATTGTGTAACACGAAGTAGATGCTTGATATTTGCTAAGTGAGGTGATACATGCAGTATTTTAAGCAGTGGCTGGAATCCAGTAAGCCCTTGCAAAGTGTTGGCTCTTGGCATGGTTTTCCTCTACCGTGAATTTTGTGTTTGTGT